GAATTTCAACAATAACAATTTTTGATGTGGATGATTTCTTCCCAGTGGCTCCACGTTTTTTAGAGGGGCCTTAACATTTAGTAAAATATATATATAAAAAAGGACCTCTTTTGGGAGCAGTGAGGTTCGAACACGGATTAACAACCACAACAATTCCTGCGCTTCAAACCAAATGAACTACAAACACCTTTGGTTATTTTTCGGATACGTATAGTATTTATCATTTTAAAACTATATATATAATATTAATCACTATTTGGGGCCCCGAGATTTGGCGAGGCCCGGGGCGGTCGCCCAGCTTGCCCACCCTCTAGGGCCGGTCCTGATTTCCACACGTTTTGGGGGTTGTTGAGTCATAAAAATGAGAACTTGGTCACTCTTATCCATACATGCATGAGTTCTTGAGCATTAAAGTGTTTTATGGACGTAGGGTTTGGTCTTGTGCTCTTTTTAGCCATGCAAAGGGGTAAAGTCAGGGACTTCACCCATTAAGACATTATTTGGGTTCAGATGTGAGAATTGGATGACTGGTCCTTGTGTATTAAATATGTTTTATTACTTTAATTATTGCTTTATTACCTTAATTATTGCTTAGGGTTTTATTGTGTATGTGTTTAGTATGAGGAGTTCTAGTATCAACAGCTCGAGTATGTGATTTTTCTATTTGTAGATTGAGGTGAGTCTTCTCACTATACTGGGTAGGATGATAGTTGTCTTTGTGACTCTTGCATTGGTAGTTGGACTGGGCCCATTTTGTATGTTAGGTTGGGCCCGGTTTGTATGTTGGGTTAGGCCCGTTTTGTATGTTGGGATGAGCCCGTTTTATATATTGGGCTAAGCCCGTTTTGTATGCAGGGCGGGCCCGTTTGATATGTATGGCTATGTGATATTTTGGGGAACTCACTAAGCTTTGTGCTTACGGTTTTATGGTTTAACATTTTCAGGTACTTCTAGTTTCAAAGGGAAGGGTCCGGCTTGACTGCATAACACCCCCCTATGATTTTCCACACTGGTGATTATTGTTTTACTCTGATGATTGTGATACATTTTGTTATGGTTGATTTTGGAATATACATTGTGTAGTATTAATGGCTTTGAAAATGAAATTTTTTTGTTGCTATTTTTTGGATGTTACACTAAAATTTATAACCGTTATGAATATGTAAAAATCATAACTCCTTCGTGCGGTTTCCGTTTTAGGCGTTCTTTGTCTCAAAATTCCTACTTTGAGAAGCACTACAATTCTCCTTTTGGTAACTTTAGCTAAAAGTCAATCGTTTTCTTCGTAGTTTTTTACGTTGTAACTTTTTATGTGCGGTAGATTTTTATTTACTATAAAGATCATATCTTTTCCACACTAAGTCGTATTTTTACGAAGTTTATATTTTTGGAGTCTCATTGACGTGTACATTCTAAAAATGTTAACGTACTCATAAGATGACACGATTTTTCGCGCAATTAGTTATGAGCCTAATAGTTGAAGTAGTCGTACGAGTTAAGGACAAAATCGAATATATTTCTTCATATATCGTAATATTACGTTGTGGCCCTATCATACAATTTCTGAAATGCTAAATTCTAATGACGGTTGGTGGCGTATTTTTTGGGTTGTCACATATTTTGTGAAACACCACCGAATATACATCATATTTGATATGTTTGTGCATTTCCAGGTTAGTTATGGTGTGTGTTTGGTGTATTTCATGGTGGTCAGTGGTGGTTCCACCACAACTTCAAATCTATTCCACCCGGTATTGTAAAACTCGCCGAGTTGACCGATTACTCGGCCGAGTACTCCCTACTCGGCCCCCTACCGATGCGAGTTATAGAATCCGAGTACTCCCCGATCGGCCCCTTACTAAAGCGGGTAGTTTTGTAAAACTACGCCAACTCGGTGATTAATATGTATAATATACTTAATGATTTATTATTTAACACACACATATGTGATTATTTCTACATATATATATATATATATATATATATATATATATATATATATATATTTATATCTTAAATTTTCAATAATTATTTACGAAGTGAGACCATTATGTGTTTTTTAGTTTTTGTGTATTCACATGTATCTAATTTTATTATATATTTCAATCAACTTATGATTTTGACATATATAATTTCCCTAAAAATATTTCTACATGAATTACCGAACCCGAGTACTCCCCGATTACTCCTGAGTACTCGCTACACGGTAGTCAGCCGAGCAGGTACCGAGTAGCGAGTTCTACAACCTTGATTCCACCATCGTCTTCTCCTCCTCCCTTACATATTATATTTACCTATGATCTGGTCTCCGATGATGGTGTTTAGATAAGGAAGTTTTGGAAACAATATGTACATAAGGTGTTTAATGAAATACCTCAGTGAGATCTATAAGTTTTTAAGTTGTAAATAAGTAGATCAATTGTTGTGTTAAACTATGAATGAGAGTTCTATGCTGGTGTACAAAACTGTGAATTATAAACGAATTAGTATATCAACTGAGAATTTGATTTTTTTTAATCCATATATGATTTTTGGAGCTTGCTAGAGTGTAGGAGATCCAGATTTGATAGCAGTAAGAGGAAGGGTGGTGATGCTAGTAGGTAGCGACGGTGGTGGTGGGTCTAATGGTGGTAGGAGGAAGGAGGGATAGTGACATTGGTAGCAACCTTGATAGGTGGTGGTGGTGGTTGGTGGTGACATGTAGTAGTTGGTGGCGGCTGTGGTAGAGTTTGTGGGCCGAGTTATGTTGAGACCTTTTTAGAAAATATTTCAACATTTTTTAAATTAATTTAAAAATATCATTATATTTGACTAATTTTTTCGTTTTGGCTCATATTTACATGTTTTTTGTTGCTAGTGCTACTGTTTATGGTGTTCTTGACATGTAACACCCGAGTTTAGGTATGAATTTCACACTTTGAATTGAAGTTTTATGGATAGCCACAAGATGGTGGAAGGATCACCATGACGTGACATTGTTGCATGAAACGCGTGTTTCATTTAGACACCACGACGTGGACATAAAATGGCCACGATGTGGTGGCGACATTATGAAAAACCCTAAATTTTTGGGCCTTGAGCCCTATTTAAAGGAAGTGATGGCAAGGGTTTCCACCATCCTCAGCCTCCATCACCTCCAAAGAACCCGTGATCAACCCTAGCCTCCTCTTTGCAACTTTTGAGCTCATTTTTCTTGTCTTGGTGGTTTTTGAAGTAAGAAGAAGGAATTCAAGTACACGGACTCAACAAACAAGCCATCTCCATCCTTTATGCATCTTTTGGTCTCTTTGTAGGTCCTCAAGTCTTCGCCTTTTTAGTTCCTTGCTTGTAGATCTAAGATTAGTGGCATTCTTTGGTTCATACTTGAGATTTGGTTGAGTAGATAAGATAAAGTTTGCAACTTTATGACTCATTAAGGTCCCTTGAGCATCTTATCCTCTAGATCCAGAAGTTGGTTGAGTTTTGAGAGCTTTACATGAGATTTTGGGCATTTTCTCATCTTTTGGCCTAGTTGGGTGAAGGAAATGCATGGGTCATGCATGTCCATAAAGTTTGGACTTTCATGGACCATTAGGATCCCAAGAAACTTGCTAAAAAGTATGAACTGAGGGCTTAACGGATTAAGGACAAAATTCATTAAGTTTTCCTCACGTAGTGACCACGAAGTGGCAAGATGGTTGTCACAACGTGGTGATGAAAGACTTCATGACTGATTTGTCTAGACGCTGCCACGACGTGATGGCATGATTGCCACAATGTGGTATCGGACTTCGACGTGATTGTGTTGGATAGCCATGATGTAACCATAGGTTGGCCACGATGTGGAGACCGCTGACCGTTGACTTTTTGACTGGGTTGACCTTTGGTCAAGTTGCTAGTTTTGGAGTGTAGACTAAGGTTTGACCTTGAATATCTCGTTAGGTGGGTTGTAGCACCGATTTCTCGTCTGTTCGAGTTGTGGTGTATTCGATTCGAGTGCGAGGTGAGTCTTCTCACTATACTATGTACGTTGCTAGACTGTCTTTGCGACTTTAGCATGAAAGACCATGTAAGGACCATGACACTTGTATGGAAGACTATGAGATGACCATGTCACTTGTATGAACGACCATGCGAGGACCATGTCACCCGTACCGAAGACTATGAGAGGACCATAACAACCATGACTGTAGGAGGACTACATCAGTGAGTAACTGTAAGACTGTGGGAGGACTATAACATTCACACATTTTTGTATGTTATGTATGATATGCGGTATTTTAGGGAACTCACTAAACTTTGTGCTTAAGGTTTTATATTTAAATGTTTCAGGTACTTCTGGTTCCGAAGGGAATGACCCGATTTGATTGCATTGCATCCACTAGAGATTTTCCGCAGTATCTGGTATTGATTTTACACTGATGTTTTGAGAATACTTTTCATACTCTCATTTCTTAATTTATGAATGAATGAGTGGTTTTTGGTTTGTTGAAAAATGAAAATTTTACTTAGAAATTTTGGGACTTTATATGATATATGAAGATGAATGTTTGATTGTATTTGTGTTGCTAATTTGGAAAATGAAGGGTCTTTGTTTGCTCAATTGAATGAAATTCATCCGGATAAATATTTGTAATACAATTCTAACCAACTTAAATATTTGTCATCCAATTCCAACCAAGTTAACAGACACATAACATTAAGTTTTCCAAATTAACAGTAACAAATACAATCAAAGCTCCATCATTTCCATGTTAAAACACCATAGACAATAAACAAGAATCGTAACAAAAAACATATGAACTATGATTTAAAACAGAAAAATATAGTGAAAACAAAAAAGTTGTCAATTATGAAGGCCTTTTTGGGAAAAAGAAATATTTTATTTTATTTATTTAAAAAAGAATTGAATTATTGTTATCAATTATTGGAAAGATTACAAACAGGTTAAAACAAAACATTGGAAAAATATAACTTTTTTTTAAATGAAAAAAACTTATCTTTAAAAGGGAAAAAAACGAAAATATAAAGTGTTTTCTTTTATAAGTTATAACTATACTTATGATGTACGCCTGATGTCATTGTCCATACATCTTCCACTCTCCGTTCGTCTCCGTTCACCATAGATTCTGATCTTCTACTGGTATTGCTTCGTTCTTTGCATTTTCAATCACTTCCTTACAATAATTTATTTTCCTGCTGATGTTAAAGTTTCGATGTGAATGAATCGAAATAAAAGAGCAGATTTCATTGAGATATGCTGTAAGATTCTCCGTACGATATCTTTTTTGCTCTCACGTTTACTGTTCATTTTGTTCGTCTTTTGACCTAATTTCCCCAATTTCGGGTTAATATGATTATGTTCGCAGTAAATGATGTTAATAAAAGTCTTTCCTACTTTTAAGGTGGTCTACATTCGACCGTTAAGAAATTGTTTCAGCTCCATTACGTTTTGAATCTCGAATCACCATGTTTTTTCTTATTTCTCTTGCTTCTGTAGTCAGATTTAGTTTTATCTGCTTCTCTTCGAGACTTCTTTAGCTAAACTCAGTTGAATCTGATTCTGATTCTGCTCTTTTCTTAGTGAAAATGTCTATATCAATGCATCATTTTCGCCAGATGGATCCATCACCAAGAACTGTGAATCTTCAAACACATAAACAATCAGCCAAAACTACGGAAAACGAACAGTTGGATCCTCAAGCAGATGCTGCATTCTGGCCACTATCAGGGAAACCATATTTCTATGTGGTTCTTGGTAAATTAATCTATGGAAGGAGGTTTCAACTGGTAATTATCGACTCCCATATTGCACATTTTATGTATCCCTCTTTTACCACTCAAATCTTATCTTCCAAAGTCTACTGTAGGTCATCCCACGTGAACTATCGGAAAAGCTTCCAACTTCTACTGTTCCTGCTAGTATCGTCTACCATGGAAAGGTGTGGGACCTACTTTACCATGGTGATCAGACTAAAAGGAGGTTTGGAAACGAAGCATGGGGAAAATTTGTTACAGATAACAATCTTGTAGCTGGGGATGCATGTGTGTTTGAGTTGATGGAGGGGAGCTTAAAGAGTAGGATTGTTAAGTTCAAAGTTCAGATCCTTAGAAGTGGTTTCCCATCTAAATTGTTGGAGAAAGCTGAAGGGTTTAATATGAACAATCCCATTGCTATCGATTAGGATCCTTGATCTTAGTTTTTGTTGTTTTGAATCTTGAATAGTTATGGTGTTCATATGTGTTTTGGTCATCTAGTTTTAATGAAAATTTCGATGCTTTTCTTGAAGAAATTGTTTCTTTTTTTTTTTTTTTTTGTGTAAACAAGCTAAAATGCATGTGAAATGTCAAACAAAGTACAACTTATATCATATACTGCGTAACAAAGGGGCCTTAAGGAGCACCATTTGTCTTGACTTTAACTTCAAGCCACAAAGTCATTGTTTGAAGAACAAACACAAACATTAAAACTCCAAATCATTAATTAACTCAAATCAAGCAATTCTCAAGGAGAACAAACCGTCTCCTCAAGAACCCTAATTTTCCTTTTATAATGACTTTCATAAGCCGGTTTCGTTCTTAAAAAAAGCAAAAAGCTAGAACTCACACCAATTACAGAAATCAAACCCCATAACATAAACGTCTCATGATAACAATCCCGACCAATACATACCTTCATTCCATCATCAAGATCCTTATCTTTTGAGCTATCGATATTATCAACATAAATTAGAGCCGCAAGAACACCATACAATAATGATCCCAACGGGATGTTAGTTATGAGAATGTTATGATTTATCCCCGAGCTTTTTGAACCAAAAAGCTCGGATGTGATTGATACTGCGGTTGAAATCAAAAATCCTGAACAGATACCGATCAGCCCTGTGGCGACACTCAAAGCCAACTTGGCGCTTGAGAGAATGAGTAGAAGAAAAGCAACCGGCATTGCTACAAGTCCAAGTGTTAGCCTCCCAGTCCGGGTAGCATACATGTCCGCAGCTGAAAGAATGATATGATACACAAGTTTACTTTAGGATTATTTTCTTTTATTTGCATTAAAACTTTTTTTCCTTACTGAAACACTGTACTTTGAAAAATCTTCTCAATTATAGCAATATACTTTCGAGTTTTTTTTTTCTTGTTAGGACCGAATTTCGAAAAATCTACTCAAAATAATAGCCAGGGGCAGACGCAGAATTTCATATTAGGGGGCGTCACAGAAAATTTTAGTAGAGTCACGATAGTGGGAAAAAAAATCGAAATTTTTTTTTTCACTGCGTCCGGAAAAACCACGTGTTGCCGGTGCCACTAAGGGCACCATAGTAAAACCGCCAGTGATAATAGCGTTGTCCTTTCAAAAAAAATTTCTTATTAGGACATTGCACTTTGAAAGAAAACGGCTTTGTATTTGGATGAAATAGCTATAATTTGGTAGATTCTTCAAACTAAAATCATATAATAACATAATTGAAAGTAGGATTCTACAATAAACAATTAGATGAAATTATGTTGCTATTTCTGCATTCAACACTTTAGTTTATTGATTTTTTGTGTCCCTATTTTAATGTTTCGTAACGTTTTTATGCTTGACTTAAATGTTGTTTAGACATGTGCATTAAGCCGATGTAAGATGATCATTTTGCCCCCTCCCCATCTTCTCCATCTCCTTTGTTTGAGGGCAAAATGGTCTTTCTACTGAAGGCCCAGGTAAAAATGTGTTAACAAAGCACCTACAAACTTTATATCAGCCACTACATGTTTATTTATTCACAATTTATGCAGATGTGTATATATGTAGAATCAATGAAACTGTTGTTGTGAGACATAAACCTACAAACTTAACCTAAATGCAAAAAGATCAATAGACTTTCGTTTATTTCTTTAGTAGAGTCATACTGTTAAATTCTTGCACATACAAGGTATTTTCGCTTTTTTTTTATTCAAGCATCGTACTTCAAAAAAATTGATGCAATTATACAATTGCAATTTCAATTTCTTGTTATTAGCACATTATACTTTAAAAATTACCCAATTATAGCAATGAAAATTGCTTTGTATTTGGATACCATTGCTATAATTGGGTATTATATTCAAAATACAATGTTGTAATAAGAAAGAAATAAAAATGGGATGCGATAATAAACAAACCAGAAAGCACGCTACTATTTCTTGTACAAAAGCCATAGAATTGTAGAATCAACGAAATAATCGTAGTGAGCAGCATACTTACTGATAGTAGGTTGTTGGTAAAAGCAGCCAAACAAGTCCATAGCTGCCGAAAGAAGCCGACCAAAAAACGAGCACGTAGAATAAATCGTAACAAGTGCTTTAGTATCAGATATGTACCCAAGAGATTCAACAATTTGCCCTAAATTATTACTATAAACTAATCCAATCGTACCTCCGCAAAAATATGTAACATAATAAAGCCAAAAATCGCATCGACTCATCATATATGTAGCCGAATGTTCCTCACCAAGCTCCCGTAATCTATCTATCTTGATAATTTTATCAAAAACCGAGCACCCACTCTTATTGACTACAGGAGTTGAACATTCTTCATGGAATTCTTCTTGATGATTCATTTCAACCAACTCATAATCTGGCCTTTCAATAGGTCCATCGGAATAAAAAGCCCGACGGGCACTTTTAATGAGGTAAATAACTTTTGGCAAGATAAACGGAAGCACTATTAACAACATTGTGACAACGACTATATTTTGTGATACGGGGTTTGTAAAGAAAAGATAAAGGCCCGTCACGGCAGCTAGTATATACAAAAATACAAATATATGTGCATCATCTTTGAGGGCGGTTTCGTCTTTTTGGTTGTTGTCTTGTCGGGAAGTGGATTGTTGGAGGATTGGGCCTAGTGAGGCAATAGATGTGATGAAAGGGACAAGGGCGTTTAGGATGAGGTAAGAGGTGGCTTTGTCATCAGGGCTTAGTTTAGTGACGATGAGGTTGTATAATGCGGCGGTTACACCGTTGAAACTAACACTTAGAGATACTGCGAGTGGCCAGTTTTCGGGGAAGTTTTTAATGTTTAGAACGAAGCACACGGTGTTGAACCATGGGATGCTCCCTCCGGCCGATAAGGATAGAACGAATACCTATTGAGGATAAAGATTGTATTAGGGTTTAAACCAAGTTACAATTATTGAAGGTAAAATAAGTTGTAGTGCATTTGACATGCATTGTACCGGGAATGTGAGAGATTGATTGTACGTAAATTGCTATTTTTTGTCCCATCAATACAAATGGAAAAAGATTGGACACAAAGCGATCTTGATCTTGACTAAAAAAGATGTGGATACCTTCTCATAATCATCATCGGAAACAACTCGAGAAACTCAACACATGTATATATATAATAATAGATTGTACTGCATTTGACATATAATACATTGTATATGTGACTAAATTTGACATATACTAGATTGGGGGATAATGACTTGAGAGGGTAATGTATTTTAGCTTTTGATCACATTTAGCTTTGGGTATGTGACTAAGGTCTTTTTGCCTCTTTTTGTCTGGTCCCTCCAACTCAGTCATGTATGTGTAACAAACACAAACACACAAACGAAGTTGCTTTTGTTGCACGGGACAAAATGAGATTGAACCGGACAGATCAAATTTTGTAGGATTAGGGCATTGATCAAAATTTGTAGGGTTAAGGTTTGTTAATCAAGGTATTTACAAAGATAACATTAAGAGCGAGTCACTATCCATGTTTTTAGGTGCATTGTACTTTTTTTTTTATCTTACTACATCACAATCTAAGTACATTACACGTTTCTTTTCCGATGGGAATTGCGTAGGAACCCTTATATGCAATCAAATCAGCAATAAAGGCCCAAAATTAAATTTGATGCGCAATTGTGTACCAACTTAAATATATGCGTATTTCTTTGTACATTTATGCTCACTCACATCTAATTCTACCTACCCTTCCTGATTTAACTTTAATTTGGAGCCAATGAATAATCACCAAAGAACCCTAAACTAAAATTAGGGGGGATAAATTAAAAAGAGTAAATGCAATAACAAATTGGAATGAAATTACGAACCATGATATACGGCAAAGTGATTTGTTTCTGAATGACAAGCCATTGAAGACCATAACCAAACAAACCAAGGAAAGAAGCCATGAAAAGCACAACCCATGTCGGAAAATACAACAGAAGAACACCGGAACACCACCCAAATAACTTTCCGATATCGGAAGCCATTGCTAAGTAATTAAGCTGCACCTGATTGGTTTCCAGTATTGATTTCATTTGGGTGGAATAAGAAGGGAAGTCAAAATTCGTACCCGTAAAAGCTTGTATCCATATCGCCGCCGCCAGTACCATCCATTTCCGGCATCCTAAGGATACCATTATAATCCGATTCTCCGGCAACGTCTCCGATAACAAATAAACCGAGGAGAGAGAAGATCTGAAAGAAATGTCTCCAACCGATTTTTATATTATTTTAATGATTTGCATGGGTTATATGGCGGGGATTGTGTAATAGCTTTTGACCACTTTTAGTCCTCCATCCATTTGAAAATTACAATACATTCCCTATACACATGGGTGAAGTTTAATTGGGCCGTATTTTTAAGCCGAGACATCTCTTGGGAAATGAGAGTTACGATGAGACCCACTTGGGATCTTGAACCAACTTGGGCCAAAAAAACACTTTGTGCAGAAAAGATGGTTACACTGAGACCTTCTCGGTCCTTGCGGATTGGACCAAAATTCTCACTTGGGTAATTCTCACTTTGGTCAATTTGATCCACTTGATTGTTAGGGTTTATTTTAGTCGCCAAGGATCATAATTTCCAAAAATAAAAATAAAAACAAAACACATTCTAAGCAAACAACTTTAATGACAAAATTAGAAACAACCAAACATCAAAATCAACAAAAACTTTTGTTTTAAATCTAGTCATGAACAACACATCAATCATATTGTAAAACTTATTAACGAAGACATTGATTTTTAATGTATGAAAAAAACAATTATATTAATAATTAACTAAATGTAAGAACATTTAATCCATCAAAAGTGTGAAAAAATAATTATGTTGTGTTTTGACCATTACTAAGAAGATAAAGAACATTTTAACAAACAATCAAAAACCAAGATAATTTTGTGATTTATGGTTCTAAAAGTGTCCAAAGCGTCACGACAACATCCAAAGGTCACCCTTGGATTCTTAGGGGGGCAAGGAAGAGGCTGTTATGTTAGTTGTAGCGCGCCTTCCCTCTTTATAACACTTCAGAAAGATTTTGCAGTCTTGTCTCGGATATCTTTGTTGAGGATTGATGTGCAAACAAATACAAAAATATATAAACAAGTGTAGCATTAACAAATAATTTTTTTATGATCGATCTCAAAGCCATGGTTTCATTCTGAACAATATAAACCAAAAATTATTCAACACATAATGTGGTTATAGTTATACCTTATACCGATGACGTATTACCAAGACAAATAATCCTTAATAACTTATCCACACACTAGAACAAACTAAATCAGACATTCCTTCCTCCATTTGCTACTTGAAAACGTCAACAAAAAAAAAAAGGATGGAGAGCTTATTGGCAGCTAAGGTTAGGCTCCAAGGAGTGTTGTTAGAATTTTGATAGTTTCTTATCTTATTATGCTTTTCCCTATCTCTTACTATGTTCTTGACACATCTCTTACTCTCAGCATGCCTGTCTCTATTCTCATGTACTCATGTCGTACTCGTCTTACTCTTTATCTCTCTATTCTCATGTACTCATGCCTCAACATTCCAGTTTTAACTAGACCTAACAGACACATCAAATACTCCAATCTCATCTATCTTCTAAGGGAAACAACATCCTATCACATTTCTGGGTAAACTTGTCTAGACTAACTATCCTCTCTTATGATCCCTCGTGGATCATTAACCAATCTTCTTCTCTTGAATCCCCCATGTGGATTCCTTACTCTTAATCCCTCATGGATTACATCTAAGATATTACAAAGAACTCTCTTATCTTGTTCCTATCAAGAAACATTTTCTCTATCTTCTCTAACCATACACAATCTGGATTCATGCATGAATCATCTATCTACATCCCCAAAAGGGAACATCATCTCTTTCCCTATAGGGACATTATCTCATTCCTAAAGGAATGATACTTTTATTCTTGTTAGAATCTCTATATCACTCTCGAAGAAATCATACTCTTGTCCCCGAAGAAACATCTATCTCATTCCCAAAGGGATCATACTCTTGTCCCCGAAGGAATCGTCTTTCTACTCATCTATATCTCTATTATGTGACTCATCACATAATACTTGTCCCGTGGATATTCTATATACTAATCTCATCAAGATGTCTGCTAATAAGCATCTAATACTTAACTCATTAAGTACTTAATCTTTATTTATGTCTAATGACATATAGATATTATACACAATACCAGTAATGTTTAGACTTAGCTACTTGCTCTTATGATTATACTGCATATAATCATATTCTAAATCTTTCTTCTATCTCTTAGGTATTTAGAAAATACACTTCTTATCTAACCATATATACTCTAGGTATATATATAAGCTTTGCTACATGTTCTTACACGTATAATCATCATCTATCCTCATCTAATCAGTTGGGGACATTCACTTAATGCTCCAAGATTTAACACACACACACACACACACACACACATATATATATATATATATATATATATATATATATATATATACACATAATCTAGATAGAGTGTGTGAGAATTATAACTCACCTTTTAATTTAGTGAAAACTAACTATCATTTGGCTCCAAATCATCAATTGATGCATCTTGGCTCATCCTCTTGCTCAAGGCCTATTCATATAACATTTCAAGTTCCTTAGAACTTGTCTTAGCCTATTAAAAGCTTATCTACTTCTTATTGTCAAAACGATCACTTAACTGATCATAATTCCAACATTTTATTTTCTACTTCTAAATTCAAACCAACCAATGATTTAAGCACACCATAATACCTAATTCATTGTAATCTAATCTCTAAAGCTTCAATTCAACATAATCACTAGTTAAGGGTTGAAACCTTAATTTCGCATAAATGAATTTCACCTTGTAAATAACATATAAACTTGTTCAGTGTTCCTAAACACATGATTAAGTACCATTAAAAGCTTACCAAGTGCAATCTTATATAACTAGCTCAAATCATCAAAACATCATTAAAATGCTTAAAAGCTTAAATATGAAAAAGATGATACTCTAGTAGCTTTTGGTGCTCAATCCTTGCCTCTAACACCTTTGATCGTCACTTGATCCTCCTACTTCCTCAAAATCTCTAGTGTTCCTTTTTCTAAGAAATAGGTAGTGTTTTGGAGAGAATGAAGGCTGATTGGGCACTTAATTTGTGTGACACCATGTCATGGTGAAGACTTCGTAGTGCCTTGGTGGCCATTTGACTTCAGTCAATGGAAGCTCACTTACGCCACCATGTCGTGGAATTCTATGTACCCCGTCACGGTACCTGGAGATTAACAAAGTGCATTTTTGAGTCCATTCCAGCTTTGGGGACAACTTTTCCCCCAACATCCAACCTTCATAACTTCTTCATTTCTAACCCGTTTTGCAGGATCTTTATATCCATGTGAAGGTGGTAACATACTCTACAACTTTGTTAAGTCATTTCTCACTAAATTGATACGGGTCTTAATCTATTTTGTCACAAAGTTGGTCCAAAAGCATAAAATTTGTTATTTTACCCTTTTGACCAAAATGCATCTTCTTATGCATTTCTTCTGTTGAACTTACTCATCTAACCTCTTATAAGTGACTTAAACTTATCTTGACCATTTTCATGAAGTCACAACTTCATAAACTTACTAAAATCTCATAAATGACCATTTTTCCCTTTTGGTTAATATTTGACTAAAAGTCAAATCTTTCTAAATATCAAGCTCTTACATGCAACTTATTTGATTTCCACTTCATAGGTTAATCAAGCTTTTAATACGTGAAAGTCAAATCTTTCTAAATATCAAGCTCTTACATGCAACTTATTTGATTTCCACTTCATAGGTTAATCAAGCTTTTAATACGTGAAATATAATGTAACACTCCAAATCGGGTATTACTCTCTAGACCCTTGAAATGGAAAAGATGGCATAAAAGGTCCCTTAGTATGCGGGGCGTACTCCAGGAGTACACTTAGCGTACTAAGGATGCATGAATACGGAGGGTGGCCACGTACGCAGGGCGTATGTATAGGTACGCGAGGCGTACGCGACAGAGGGCCAAAACCCTAATTCTCGGACTTGACACCTATTTAAACACCCTTAAGCCTCTTGGACCAAACCCTAATCAGCCTCCACAGTCTTATTTCGCCCTTCTACACCAGAGATACCTTGTGAGAGTGTTTTTGAGATTAAGGAGTGTATTTGTGGCCATTTTAGAGTTCATTCAAGAAGAAGGAATTGCTAAGCAAGCTTGGAGTGGCATTGGGCTTCAAGAATCTGCATCTATTTCACCTCGAAGAGCCTCTGGATGTATAAAGTCTTGATCTAGCTAGGGTTTTCTATATTGTCCCTTGAGTTGGTTTTGGACCTTCTCTTGAGAGTAGAGCAACTCTAGAGACTGAAATGGTTAGATCTGAGCTTTGTGAGCATGTTCGATGCATAGAGGTGCTAGCTTGAAGAGTATCTAGACTCCATGCATGAGTTTGAAGCTTTATATGAAGTCCTAATGTGAAGAATGAAGTTTTTAAGTTCGATATAGCATGCAAGGGCACAAAGTTGCCAACTTTATGCCGTAGGACGTCTTAATGAGCTCATATCTGATATTGGACTTTAGAACATCGAGTGTTAAGCACTTAATGGAAGAAGGTGCTTAAACTGATTATACGTTGGGCGTAACTTAGAGCACGCAACGCGTACAACTCAGGGACTCAGTACGCTACGCGTACCAGGGTGGTACGCAAGACGTACGCACCTCAGATGGTCTCAGACTTGTTTTGGGCTTGTAAGCCCTTTGGGCCTTAATTAGTCATTGGGCCTGGTCATGTTTTGAGTTAGTGGGCCAGCTTATCTGTTTTTGGTCATGGTTACTATAGTTGGGCTTTATTGGGCCATGAGGCCCATTAATGAATTTGGACATGGGAGAGCCCATGACACCTGGATGTAAGACCGTGTGGGGAGCCTATGGCTTTCCTATTAAAGGCCATGGGGGAGCCCATGACACATGGATGTAAGACCATGTGGAGAGCCCATGGATTTCCTATTAAAGACCATGGGGGAGCCCATGGCACTTAGGTGTAAGACCATGTGGGGAGCTCATGGCATCCTAGAGTAAGACCCTGGGGAGCCCACGACATCCTTATATGTTTGTATGCATGA